GACAGATAGCAGTAGTGCTTCCAGATGCGCCGATGGAATTAACCCGCTTTGATAATCTCGATCGTCCGATTGAGTCAGCGGTGTATCCGGAACCAACCACTGCGCCAACAACCGCTAATATACGGACACTCGCGGCGGCTTCGCTCCCCACATCTGATACGGACTTGAACCTGCCATCAGGTGAATTGCGTGCTTGGTACACCAAGACCCACTATTCCCAGCGTGGATATGTCTGGCAAGAACAAACCGCGATAGATCCCACGGATTCGATGACGGAGTTCCTCGAATGGAACGCCTGGTACGACGACGAAGGCAACGAGCTCGCCTCGTGGGGAGCCAACTCACCCAAGATCGTAAGCGAATACGATGCGCACGATCGAGTCACCAAGCTCATGGTCACTGACCGCGCGGGCGATGTGTCCGAACTAAGCTATGCCGATGTGATCGTGGCCAGCGATGATGTGGTGCTTGAGCAGGCTGAGTATGAATACGAAGATGGCTCTGGTCTTCTCGAGATGATCACTTCCCGCATGCGTGTGCATGACGATACATCTGCTGGATTGCTTGATGGTACGAACTCGGTGACAACCTACATGGGCTACGCCTATGACGAGGCCCAGCGTGTGGTCGGCGTGGTAGACTTTGGCACAAACAAGACGACCGGTAATCCGTTCTCGAAGACTGCTGGAAGTGTGCCCACGCTTACTAGCTTTGACACGCTTGATGAGTTGCGTCAGGCGACAGGAGTGCTCTTTGGCTGGCGGACATACAACACGCGCGGGATGATCGAAGACATCATCTCGATCCAGGATGGGACGGGCGTCTCGGATCTGATCACTTCCAGATATCTCTATGATGACATGTACAGAACTGTGGCGACGGTCGAGAACGCGGATGCGATCTCATTGCTGACATGGGACGGCACGGAAGAACGGTACACCGTCAGCGGCTTCGATCACACGAAGCAGGACACCGATCGTGTGACGAGCTTTGTGTACGACGGCGTGAGCAACATTGTAAAACGCGTAGCGCACATCCCGGAAGATGGTGGCGGATCGACTACTGAGGGCGTGCAGGTCACCGAGTATGTCTATGGTGTAGCCAGCGGCTCGTCGGGTAACGCGATGGATTCGCTTCTTGCGTCCAAGAACATTCTCAAGGAGGTCCGCTATCCGGATGAGTCTACAGGTGAGGCATCAAGCGCTGCAACAAACAAAGTGCAATACGCTTATAACCGCCTTGGTGAACTCCGCGGCTTGACTGATCAGAACGGGACGCTCCGTACATTCGGTCACGACGAGCAGGGTCGGGTACTGTACGACAAGGTCAACACGCTGGGTACATTCAGTGTAGATGGTTCGACACGGACTGTTGACGGAGCCGTGCGTCGTCTTGGGTACAGCTATGACTCGCTTGGTCGCATGCAATCGATCGCTTCATTCACCGATACGACTGGCACGACCTATCGCGATGAGGTCCAGATGGGGTACACCCCGCTCTGGCAGATCGAAACGGTAACTCAGCAACACGACGGTGCAGTGGATTCAAGCTCGGCGCAGGTGCTGTATCGCTACGAAAGCGAAGCTCCAAGCGAGGGTGATCACAACTACTCACGATTAACTGACATTGTTTATCCAACAGACAATGATGGGAACTCGTCTGACCAAACTGTTCAATACACCTATGCATCTGGTGTTGAGGACCGGCTCAGTCGGATCAACAAGCTTGGAGTGATGCAGTTCAAACAGTCATCTGGGACTGGATCGGCTGCCATTCAGAATCTGGTTTCGTATAAGCGGATCGGGCTCGGGATGCTGGGCAAAGCCACGATCCATATGAATAACAGCATCGTGGATAGTGTCACGCTCGATCGGACTGCCCAGCACGATGGTGCTGCTACGCCTGCAGGCACATACCCGGCTCTCGACAAGTTTGGGCGTGTCACGCGCCACATGTGGGTGCCCGATGGATTCGGTCCGCATACAACAGCAACTGGTTTCTCAAACAAGCCAGCGGTGGTGGAAATCACGCATACATACGATCGTTCCTCCAACCGTTTGTCATACAACGATGCTCGAGAGGGCGCGAAGCTCCCCGGACGCAATCGTGCATTTGAGTATGACAGATTAAACCGATTGGTCGAAGAAGCACGCTCGTCGCTTCCTGCAGCGGCTGGGTACACCCCGCAGCACCATGGGCACCAATGGGCGCTCGATATGCTCGGGAACTGGGATGATGTACTCAACGATGCCGATGACGATGGTGTCTTCACTGATAATCAGGGTGTTGGGTACCTCGACGATCGCGCCGCCAACAGCGCCAACGAGATCTCGGATTCCCATGCGCAGTATGACCGCCGAATGCTTGAGAGTGGCACGACTCCGATCTATTACGATTACCACTACGACGACACCGGGAACCTGACCGATCAGCGGACCGGCTCGACATTGCCGCTTCCGCCGGGCACATTACAGGACGGTCGTCAGCACACCTACGACGCGTGGAACCGTCTTGTCAAGTCCGAGATGCGTACCACCGGCGGCACGGTGTTCAACACCATCGCCGAGTACACCTACAACGCGCTGGGATGGCGGACCACCAAGAAGATGGACACCGCGACCGGTGCGTACGATGGCACACTCGATCAAGAGCGGACCTTCTACTACGGCTCATCCTGGCGTATCCTCGAAGAGCATGTTGACTCGGACCTCTCCTCCTCGTCAGACGATGTCTGGATCAGCCAGGAGTTTTGGGGCACACGCTACATCGACGACTCGGTCGCTAAACGTATCGACCGCGGCGGCACCGGCGACTGGTCGTCGTCCAACTCCGATCTGACGCACTGGTTCCGGGTGACTGATTCGCAGTTTTCTGTGGTGGGTGTGCTCAACGATGATGGCGTGATGCATGAGCGGATTTCGTACGACGCGTACGGGAACGCCGCGCACCGTTACGGCGGTGATGCCAATGGTGACGGTGCGGTATGGACACCTGATATCGCGTTGCCGGGCACATTCGGTGTGACGATTGATGACACGACGAACTACCATGCGGATCTGGACATGGACTGCAACGGTACGTATGAGATCGCGGACTACAACCTGATCACGGGGTCGATCCCGATGAACACATCGTTGCCCAATGGTTGGATTTCTGATCCATCAGATTCGGACGGCCCTGACAACTCGGTGGGGTACGCGGGGTATGTGTTTAATGCCGAGCGTGAGGACTACTCGGTGCGGTACCGGGTGTACTCGCCGGAGCTGGGTCGGTGGATGCAGCGGGATCCGATCGGGTATCTTGGTGGGGGAAATCTGTATGGGTATTCTTGGAGCTCACCTTTAATGTTTGTAGATCCGGAAGGATTGAGTCCACAGCCAGGCGATCCTGATTCGGGAATGTCAGTTTCACAGTTGGCTGAGTGTGAGAGATTAAAGAAGCAGATCGACAAACTTTCTGATAGGATGAAAAATCGTACAGCTATGATGGATTTTTATGCATCAGTGCGTGATGGTACGCCATTCTCTATGGCTCAGTTAAACAAAAGAGCATTTGGTATCAAGTATGCTAAACTCACGGGAAAAGATGCTATGAGGGCAATTGGTGCAGGATTACGTAGTTCTGGGCAAGGAATTGGAGCTGCCTTTGGTCCAGTCACGGCATTCTTCCTAGGATTGTGGGATATAAAAAATGTGATGGATGGCGGGGGCACACAGGAAGAAATTGAGGCTGCTAGATGGAGATTTTATGGTGGCTTGACATTATCATTCACATTACGGGGTGCAGTTCGTAATCTTGGTGGAAAAACTGTTTTAGCAACACTTGGAGCTGGTACAGGGGTTGGTTTAGCGTTACTAGCAATCGATGTTGGGGCTAATGCTTGGGGCCAATATTGGGCTTCCAACGCAGGGAAAAGGTTTGCACGAAACCAGGCGAAGAAAATTGGTGCTAAGCTCCAGGCTGAGCAGGCCAAGCGCGATCAACTAATTCAAGAGTTCCGATGCAAAGGATGTCCTGGTGATATCTAGATCGTGTATATATATTTTTCAACTTTATCTCATTGCGTCTCGAGGCAAAGTAGATGTGGCTGATTACCGGTGTGATGACTTCCACGGTGGTCTGGCTACAGGCAAAGAGTTTTGGATAGAACGGAGCGACCCAGGGTGGGTGTTTTATACGCTTCTGTTTTTGTTTGTTTTCTCGACGTCAGTTTCCATGTTTATACTAGGTATATTTCTGATTTATCAAGGTATCCAGCAAGCGTTGCCACTCCCGCTACTTACCATCTTGGGTCTTGGCTCCAGTCTCTGGTTGTACACTTTAAAACGGAACAAGATAAAGCTGTGGTTTAATCGATCTGATACTGTGATGCTTAGTTCAAGTGCAATGAATCGTTTTTTTTGCTATCCTCTTCACCGGCTTCATCCAGAGTTGTGTACAACACACGTATCAATAGTCAACTCTGATGGAGTGTGCATTCGCAAAGAAGAAGCTATATGGCTCACTCTCTGTAACAAAAGGAGATGGGTTTTACTTCAAGTATTTAGGCAACATGAAGCAGACCGTGAAGCACATCGGTGGAGTGATCAACTAGGATTGGATCTAGTTGGGTACAGTAATCGTACTATGAAAATCATGGTTTCGTAGTATGTGGGGTTTCACTGTAGGACCACGTGATAAGCGTGTTCTAGGAGGGCTTTCATAATCTCATCCGCCACGAAGAGCGTTGCGACATGTTGTCAAATGAGCTTTATGCTGGAGTGGGCAGAATGAAACCAGTGAGAACGACCATTGATGTTGTTGGATTTAAAGGGAATGGATTTGCTTAGGTGTTCAGAATCTCTATCCGGATCCGAATCGAAGACTCAAGGTTGAACAGGATCGGTTAAAGAAAGGCCGATCGCATCAACATTCAAGAGTTCACGCCGGAGTCTATGAGTGAAGGCGCAGAAGTACCAGTTGCAATCTTTGTAACTCAGCTTCTTTGAAATGTGAATGATTCAGGCTGCTCTGTAGTGACGCCGGAGCAACCCGCCGAGCCGGGTATCGCATCTGATCTCTCCGACTGTTCGCGGAGGTCCATCACTCATGATTGGGGTGTTCCCGATTCCTTGATGCGGACGCTCGTGGTGGTAGTGCTCGACATACTCGGAAATCAAATAATCAAGATGCTCTCCGCCGATCGGGATGAAGTGATCGAGGCATTCGGCTTTAAGTGATTTGATCCAACGCTCGATGTGCGCATTCATCAAGGGTGCCTTGATCGGCAATGGGTATGGCTTCACACCTTCTCTCATCAGAGTTACGTTGAACTCTCTCGAGTAAAGTACATCGTTGTCTCGTACCAGGATGGTGGGGGGTTGCAATCCAAGTTGCTCCACCATCATCGGGAAGCTCTCAGCAACTCTGCACATCCAATCGCTGGTGGGATGCCGTGTAGACTTCGTGGCGATCACTTTCCGGCTGCTTATATGTATGAAAACAAGCGTCGTGTATCGCTTGAGCCCTCTTGGGGTGAGCACTTTCTTGTGGAAGAAGTCGCACGACCAGAGTGTTGAAGCATGCCGATTCAAGAACTTGTCCCAGACCGGTTCCGTGCGATCCGGAGCTGGCTCGATGCCATGCTCCTTCAGTATGGAGCGGACGGTTGATCGCGAGACCGACATGATCCCGAGTTTGCGGAGTTCGCCAAGAATGCGGGTGTATCCCCAGCCGGGTGTTTTAGCCATTTGTAGTACAAGCTTCTTAAGATCCCGCTTTGTGGGCGGGCGTCCGGACTTCGCCTTGAAGCTCCGTTTCTTGTGACTCTTTGGACGAAGCCATTTCTGAAATGTGCTATATTGAACAATCGAGATGAGATCTCGCAACGCAGGGCCGACTTTCTTCCCGAACCGGATGAGTCTCCGTCGCTCGCGTTTGGTCATCGAAATCCTCTTGGGGAGTTTCCCTCGGAGGATTTGATGCTCAATGGTGAGGTATTGGAGCTGGGTAATCAGCTGATCGTGGTCCGATCGGCCGAAAGCCAACAGTTTCGGTAAATGTGGTGGATTCATGGTCAATCCAGAGCGCGGATAGGGTTTTTGAACCCTTGGAGGGCGGGGTTTCTGCTAAAATGTAGGTGATTCTAGAGAGACTGAGTGCCATATGTTTGAACACACTCCGTCAACCAGGTAGGGGAAGGAGAGCATCTGTGGGTCGCGGCGATGAAGTGTCCGTGCGGCTGTTCGGAGACGATCCAGCTCAACTTGTTGCACGGTCAGCGCCCGAGGTGGTCTGTCGTGGAATCGGAGGATGGTCCCGTGACGCTCAGTCCTTCGGTCTGGCGAAAGGCAGGGTGCAAGAGTCACTTCTTTTTCCGGAATGGGCTTATAGTCTGGTGCGTAGAGCGCCAGGGAGGAGAATCACCGCATGCAGCATGAGCCACTCAAGATGCCCCCGATCGAGCTTCCCGTGGAGCTCTGGTACATCGTCGGCTTAGCCGTCGCGGCGGGAACGCTAAAGCTGCTGCTCGAGATCGCTCTACCAGCCCGGTCGATGGTCAAGGTGCGGAGGCGTCGACGGTAATGTGATCTCTAGCTTTACAGAACCTCTTCTTCTCGGAGTAAATGTAGTCAGGAGCGGGTACAGCTGGGCTCAAAACTTAGACCACTTGCCAAGTGTATTTATGGAAAGCGTCGCACATCTTTTGAGACCAATTCATGGCAGTTGTGCAGGATACTCATACTGATCTTTAGAGCATTGTGAACAGAGCAGGCTTCTTAACCACTGCAAAATAATGGTTTAGCATACGACACTGTCTTGGCGACTGTGTATCTCGCAATGCTGAGCATTTTCATGTACTATCGAGCAGTGAGTAGAGTGAGAGATATTGAATTTGGATATTTGAGTGAGCGCACAAAATAAAACAGCGGTCTTCATGCGCATTGAGTACATTTGCTCTATTCAGATTGTCACCTGATTGCAGATTAAATTTGTTGGAGATATCGAGTGTTTATTTCGCAGTTTAATATCCGTAAAATCGTGGACGCAATGTCTTCGGCAACAGCCTTTAGTACAGTTGCTCTGATTGCAGCCGTTGTTCTTCCTGCCACCATATCGGTCGCCGAGGAAGACAGTTGCGTTCCAGGTCAGCCTCAGTATGAGTTCCCAACTGTTGCAAACGCAAGCGAGTGTACAGGGACCGGTCAGATTGAGCAAAACCCAGACGGGACTTATCGCTGGAGAACATCAGGAACTCTTGGTTCTTACTGCTGGCAACAGCTCTATCTGTATCCAAGTTATTACAATGATTTACAACCAGATGCACCGTCTCCGCTAACGGGAAGCGGTTGTTCGAATGACTCGTTCTACGAGCAGTATTATTTGCCGAATGCGTACAACTTGTACAACGGTGGGCAGGATGTGTACCCGTATGGCTTTCGCACGAAGTTCAATCCGCTCGTCATGCCCGGGTTGGGGACATTCATGCCCCCGGCAGAGAACCTGCAGGAGAGTTCGGTAGCGTTAGTTCCGCCAGGAATGGGTAGTATGGATCTTTCGTGGAATGGAGCATCTCGTGCGACTTTACATGGGCAGGTTGATTTAGTCACCGGGATGCCGCTCCAGAAAGTGAATCAACTCGAGATCCCATTTGGCGGGGCAACTTTTAGACTTGTACGAACACGATCAGGCACGCGCGAGGACATGCAGAAGCGCACGGATGACCAAGTAAACTATGGGGGAGTCAGTGATCACATCGCTGCCAATGAACGATGGTGGGACTGGGCAGGGCAAGGATGGATGATCAGTGAGAATCCATTGCTACTTGTGGATTCAGCACTGCCTGGGCCGGTTGGTCCGCAGCCTGTGACTACATACTTGATGCTTGATGCGCATCACACGATCCCATTCCAGCAGATTGAAAGCACTGGGCAGTACGCCGCCCCTCCTCGCTTTCGTGCAAGATTGGAGCATAACGGAATCTGGGACATTGCAGTTGGGGGGTGGACTGAGGAGCCTACTCAATATGATGTCTATCTTTATGACGGTGAACTGAAATACAGCTTTGTTGTTGTTCGTGAAGACATTCCTGAGCATGTATACGAAGTGCCTGGATTATCCGAAGAAACAGGTTCGTATCATCAGCGGCCTGTATTGCCGGGCGATGGGACAGCGAGCGTGGAGTACTCTCCTTGGGCTGATTGCAAGAATCCTGGTCTTGGGATTCCATATCTCGGCTTGTGCTTCCGCATCGAGGATAGGTACGGGCATGAAGTTCGTATCAACTACAGCAATGTGACATCCCAAGAACTTGATATGAGTGACACCCAAGGGTGTATCGAATGCTCTCAGTCGTGCCAAAAGAAGGGGATGATCAGTTCTATTGAGTTAGTGAGCGATGGCCAGATCCAATGGACATTGGTGTACTCGTACCGTGGGATGTATGTGTGGAGCTCCCCAAGTGATAGAAATCCACAAATGGATACACAGTATCCAGAAAATCAGGGCGATAATGCAAAGCTGTACAACGATATGTGGGGTGGGTATCACATCAATCAAATTCACGTGCTTGATCGTTCACTCGACGGTGCGGTAGGAGCAGAGTTTGACATAGTGCAGCAAGGCTTGACACTGGATCATCGTGATGAGTATGCGCTGGATATTCCGAACTCAACTGATGCTGGTGAGCTTGGCCAATCGGCATTTTTCGACAATCCAAACATGGACTTGGTTGAGGCTGATTGGGTATACCGAGTTCGAAATCATTATCTGCCGAACAATGCTGACAGTAACGAAAGAATGTGGCGTGCCGGCCTCAAAGCCATGACGACGGTTACTGAACGCTTTGTCGATGAGCAGGGGGTATTCAATGGCCAAGAATCCAAGGATCGATGGGTCTATCAGTACGCTCTTGGCAACGGAAGTGAGTCAGGGTTCCCAGAGGATGGTCAAGCGAATCCGCCTTCAGAGTCATCAAAGTCCATTCGTTGGCTAACAAGAATGTACACGCCGGAAGACTTGAATGATCTCATTGAATACTGGATGGCTGATCCAGATGCAAGACCTGACAAAGATCAGGGGCAGCTGATTTATACATCAGGGAATGAGATTATTGACAAACTGATTCGTAATGAACCAATTGAGCAGAATGGTTCTACGGGTATCGGGAGTAAAAGTGTCGCGTTTGCTTCAGCGCAATGGCTCATGCGAACATGGGAGGACTGGGGTGGGTCGGCAGCTCCTGAACCACATGCTCTGGTAAATGATGTTCCAGGTGTTGGGCGATTTGTCACGCGAGAGCATGAGCGTCTTCATTCTGACAACTATGAACGGACAGTAGAGTCGGTTATCGCCCGAGATGAAAACGGCGTGAAGCGTAGATATCAACTCAGCCGAATTCGAGTCTCACCGTTTGCTTCTCAGCTTGGAGATAACGGACAGTTCTTTGGTGCTCAGGGATACCATTTTACTGGGGTAGAGCAGCAAGCGCACATCTTTTTAGATTCTGGTGCTGCAGATGTTTACAACTACCATCAGAAGAGTGTTTTTTATGCACCGTTCAAATGGCAGCATGTCAAGTACGACAATGGCAACGCTGAATATGCATCAATGGTGGATTCCCCTGACTTAACTCAACCTCGATGGATTGTCATTGTTGATGAGTTGCCAATTAATCAAGGGGTCTTTACCGGAGAGGCTTACAGTACTGGGGATGCATCTTTGAAGCCCGGTCAGCTAAGCCGACGTGTTGTTGAGATGAGTGCTTCCGGGCATGTCCTCACCGATAAACTGTGGGAGTTTACTCCTGATGGTGTCGTTCGTTCGGGGGGTGGGCTTGGCGAGCAGTACATTTACATGAGCGCCGAAGATTACTTCAATCTTGATTCGGACGCTTCAAACGATATTCCTGCTGCTCCAGGATCCGGCAGTGATGACTTTGCTGCAATCAGGGAGGAATCTTTGCTTGTGGAGTACCGGAGCGTCGGTTATTCAGTCGATTCTGATAAGGACACGGGTCTGACTCGCTTCATCGATTACCAACTTTTTAATCCTGGAAGCGAGAGCCTTCTCAATTACGATGATGAGAGTGAGGAGGAGATTCCACTTGTTCATCGTATCCAGCCAGTCGCGGAAGGAGTCCGACAAGGTGTTTCATATCCTGATTATGATCCGGATGGCAATCCACTGAACATCGAGAGTGTACATCCAAAGCTCTATAAGAGCCAAACTTTCAGAGATGAAGCGAACCCCTCGGATGTATTGGGCGCGGTTGAATATGTAAATCCTACTCTGGAATCTTCATTGCTCTCAGACATGCCAGTGCTTGGTCAGGTGAATGCCAACTCTACCCCGGATCAGAGCTACCGAGTGTTGTACACGGTGATCGAACGCGATGATGAGCCGGATGTACCCGAGCATGAACAAGATGTGCTTAGTCGGATGGTTGTGGGGGTTCCAAGGCAAGCATATCCTGGGTCACATTACTATTACCCTATCGAGCGAGAGTTCTATGACCCGGAAACGGGTTTCACGATTTGGTCGTGCACGGGGCAACTCCGTGATCCAAACAATCCATCCGGCAACAACGATCCGCATGAGACTCTCATATTTACATATTATGAGCGAGATAGCCAGGGGCGATCTGTTCATACTGTTCTTGATGCGGATATTGATGCGAATAATGCCGCAGCTGTTGGCGACAAGATTACATCAGCGAATCCACATGATGATGATCCCATTGCATATAGAGATACATCAGGCAATGAGGATGATGGTGGTGGTAGTGCATGGCCAACAACCCAGGGGGGTACTCAGCAATGGAAGCGTTTGAGTCAGACGCCGGCATTGCAGTATGTGACATCGTATAAGTATCACAGCCGGCACGGACTTATTGACGCTTTCTTCCCAAATGGGAGGCGATGGGCAAAGCGTGTGATTCGGATCTCTGGTAGTGAAGCGGGTATCGATTGGGATCAAGGAGTTGATCGCGAGTTCATTTTCTCAGATTTGGAGCGTGTTGACTTGGGTGGTCCTACTTTGGAATGGGTGACTAATTCCGAAGGTGAAGTTAACG